AGATACTTCTAAGACTGCAATATTAGTTGGAGCACAAGTTACTGTTCTACAATTGAGACTCAGAAGTAAAAACAACAATGCACTAACAGTCTTCGTTTTCCCCGTTCCAGGAGGACCCCAGATTAGCTTCGTCGTGTTCTCGTGATGGCAATACTTTGTCGCGAGACAGTTCAGAACTGCTTCGTGTTGAGAATCATTAAGATTGATTAACCAATTAGATGCAAGGATCTTTGATCTGCAAACTCGATACACTTCCCCTTGCAAACAGACATTACACTTCTCCTTACCCTACAAAAGCAATAGAAGAAGTCAAATATTTCATGTTATGATATACAAGTAACAACTTGAAGAACTTGGTGATAGAAGGTCATCTAATAGTGACGTCAAAATTCATAAGGAAATATGAAGATGTATCATTCTGGTAAGACTGTATAAGCAGAATAACAAATGAGAAAAATATGAAGCTTACAGTCACATCAGAATCAGGTTCCAGTATTTTCTGAATAACTTTGGAGTTTTGCCTTTCCAGCCCCAAGTTCAATGAATTCCAAATGCGTGTATTTGTTGTCGTATTTATAAGAGAGACCAAGAACAAAGAGTCCCTCATATGATTTTCCCTAATGCCCTGTTCCACCAAAAAGGGTCTCGATGAGAAGACCTGGATCTTGATATAATCTTTCTCATATGTCACTCGTTGAACCAGAGCCATTATGTAGGACATTGTGGGTCTGTTTAGATCATCGACACACGTTGGTCTTACATCTGTAATGGCAAAGAGATCCCCCGTCTCAGGTTCATATGATCTGCCATCACCACTACTCTCTTTCCTTCCCATCTCAATAATGTATAAGCATTTATCAGATGGCTTTTTACTCTCCACTTCCTGAATAGACAATATTTTGCATATAGATGCACTTGCCACTTTATCGAAGCTAGAAAACAAATCAGCATGTGTTTCCTCTAAAAGAGGGAAGACGAATGACTTCATATACAAAGCGATGGACTGAAATGTTGAAGGGATGTTCTTCACCTACAGGATAACTCAAGATCATATGACTAGAATATACTTAAGATAGAGATCCAAAACAAATACGCTCAAACATCATGAAAGATAATGGACATTTTGTTTTTGCTTTGACATAAAATATTATGAAATCTTCATCATCTACCTTCGATGTGCAAAACTAATAACATCAGTTATACTGGCAATGCTACCCCAATCATGTATTGATAGACAGGTTTTAATTTCATCAAATGCTACCCATTGTCCATATTCATGACTAACAAGTACTATAAGATACAAAAAATGTTGATAATCCACATTTCATATGCCTAGTCTCATAGCTACTCTTTGCATCAATATCAATCTTAAAAAGTTGCACACAACCCAACTTGTGAAAAAATAAAAGGACCTAACAAACAACCACATTACAAGTAGTCAAGTATCATGTTGCACTTATGAACCATAGTGGATGCAATGGTAATCCACACCTACTTAAGATCTGGATAATTCTAAGTAAAGAGTAAAAGCCCTGGTAACAAATGCCACCAAATGAAACAGGCAAGGGATAAACCATAGAATCAATACTACAAAAACCAAACACACACAAAATAAGACAAGATAAAAATAGCAGTAAAACAAACCTTGTCCTTGTAAAGGTCTTTGTTAAGGACATCCTTAAAAGACCAAGAAAAGATAACGTCTATAAGTGTCTTTTCGAGAAGAATGGCTTCACCATCATCGTCAGTTTCCATTTCAGTCATATTCTGCAAAACCCCATTGCATGATCACAATTCACAGCATATAAATCAAACAAGAAACATCCTAAGCATATGCAAACCATTTTTGTATCACATTCTACAAAACCCCATTTCATTTTTTTTCTTTTTCTTGCAAAACCCAATTTCAAATTATTACTTTGTTTCTTTTTCTTGCAAAACCCCATTACATTTTTTACTTTCTTTTTCTTGCAAAACCCAATTTCAGTGCTTTTCTTGTTCTTGCAAGACCCCATTGTATGATCATAATTTATAAATCAAACTACAATATAGTAAAATAGACAAAGACATAGAGAGACGAAGTAGTTAACTGTAAAACTCGAAGGATAACTGCTGCGTCGAATAGGGGTTTAGCAGTGATTCTTGTTCTTGGAAGAAAGGAAACCCCTTTGACAGAAAAGAGGCCAACACACAAATTCTATAAAAAAATTTTTTTTTTGGCCTTTTGGTTAAAATGCAAACTAGTCCTTATATTTTACCACAATTGCTATTTTGTAGTCAAACTAATGTCAGGTCTTGTTAATTACGTAGTTGCAATATAATTTAGAATCTCAAATTCAAAGTAAGAATTTACTTATATTTTCTTAGATATAATACTTCATCTATAAATTTATATTTAATATAAATATTATTATTTTGAAATTAGTAAGAAAAAATACATACTCTATGTAATTAAATTATTTGTACTACGTGAAACGATTATATTAATGTAACACCCCGCTCGTTTGAACATCAGATTAACTCATACTTTTTGGAATAAGACTAAGAGCTTAATGTGTTAGGAAATATGTTTTACGAGGTATTTCAATTGAACGATGGTTGTATGTTATGTTTTGAAGTCAAGCTAAAATAAAAATTGGAAAAAGTTATTGTAACTTTCCTTTTAAAAAAAAAAAAGGAATTCTCTTAAAATTTGGGTAAAATGTGTTGTGGGTTTTCTCCCATATGTAAGGAATTAGTGGGCCCCCAACATACCAAATCGAAAATTTGCGAGTCTAGTTTCTAACACACTAAATTGTTGACCCATATAACTTCAGAATAGAGAGATATTCATGTTTTTGTAAGACTGCGCAAGCATGCACGTCAAGGTGGACCCCTATGTCGGTTTAGCTTTATAAAAGTTGTTTGAGCTTCGTTTTAACTCAGAAAAATCAACAAAAATTCATACAAAATCAGAAGGAAAGTCCCTTAATTCTCCACGAATATTGGTTCTTTCAATTCGGATTTTTAACTGAAGTTGATCGACATAATGAGTCTATTGTTTTAGCGTAGTTTTTCCCATCAATTTTGTGGTGTATCTTCATGGGTGTTGTGGCAGCGAGATTAGTAGGTGTGTTTTTTTTATCCCAAGAGTATTTATTCTTATTCCTCACATCATATGACGACTCTAAGAAAGAGAATGATAGGGCTAGACATTTTTTTTAATAATATGCCTAAATTATTCTTTCTCATTCATCGTTCAACTAATTGTTAATTGGGTCTGGGTCCAAATTAATCTATGTAAAGACTTTTCAGTTATGTTGCTTCTTCCCGATCTAATGACTAATTATGTGATATCTGTGTAATCAATATTGAACCGAGACTAATTTATAATAATATCTAAATTGATATAAACCACTTTAACTTCGAAAATGAGTCAAAATAATTTTCGAAAACGAAAAAAGCAAATGAAAAATCAATTGTATTTTGCTTGAAATTATTTAGGAAATATGGAGGGAAATCATTGTAGCTCTTGATTGACCACATAAATTATACTTTATTTGTAAGATTTTGATATTCCACCTTATAATTTCCTTCTCCGATCTCCATTTAAAAGAGATGGAAATCCCCTCTCTTTTTTTTTTCATTAATAAGAGCTAAATTGCGAGCCTGCCATTTATTTACTTTGTAGAATCTGTTGACATTGTCCCCTTCCTTTTGTTGTCCACTTTGTTTTTTATTTGAGAAATTTTTGGTGCTTAATTGTTTTTTAAGTTGAGATCACGTGTTACTGATTTCTGATTAGCTAGTGTGATCATTTAGTAGTATATACGATTTTTCTATAACAATTTTAAAAAAAAATAATATCTTAATATTTATATTTTTTGTGGAATTGATTTTTCATATAATTTTATATTATATATTTTCTATGTAACAATACTTCGTTGTAACAGAAAAATTTATCATGACAAACGATGATATTATTAAGTAGATTTGATTGTACTTGATATTGTCGTATAAAGGTTTGAAATAGCTCACCCAAAAGTTATTTGAATTGGGATGAATTGTGCTAGAATTGGAAAAAATATGAGTTAAAATTCGTAACTCTTACACACATATATAATAATTATGAGTTGTGTAAACAATTTAAATATGCTATACTTTTTCATGAAAATTAATTTGTATAACTAGTTTACTTTTGCCTTTTAGTGTGAGGTATAAAATATAATTATCTCAGATATTTGATTGAAGATATTAGATAGTTCCGTAACTATTTATCCAATAATTTTTACCATAATGATAAGATAAGTTATTTCATATACATAATAAAATAATTTATTCAAAATAATTAATCTCGTAATAATTTGTTCTCAATCAGACAATCCCTAATAGACTAATGAAAGGGCTCAAGTCAATTTAAAGGATAATTCAATTCACAGTGCTTTTCACATTCATGCAGTAGCCCGTATGAGAGTGGACCTCATCTTTAAGGTGCAAACATTGAAACTGCTGGCTAAAGATTCTGCGTACGCGACTAACAATATGAATGAATCCTGTTATAAATAAATTGATATAAATATTTTATCTAAATGTAAATGTTAGAAATTATGATTCTGCCGATCAATTCCGCGACATATAAGTTCAAATAGACAAAATCATAAATTCAAATTCATTTATGTAAATAGAAAACTATGCGTTTTACCTATTCTTATTTTGTATTTATTGTAAAATTTTATTCACCTAATTAAATTTATAATTTCCAAGAAATCTTTTCCATAATTCATTCAAAATAAAAATAACTACTACAATGAAAAGAATTATAAAAATTTACAAGTTGGAAATGTGAAAGGGAAAAGAAAGAAACAAATATCATTAAATTTGTCAAAAAAAAATTGGAAAATCAAATCAAAACCATACTAAACAATTCCAAATTTTGCACTTTTTCTAGTTCTAGAAGAAGGGGTCTAAAATTGTAGAAATTGCATCCAATCACATTTACTTTCCTATATTATAATTGTGGGAACACAAATACAAAGTCAAAATCTCATTTGTGCAGTCTTGAGAAACAAGACACCATCAATGTAGAGAGATCTTGAACAAGTCAATATAAACCCCACCTCAACACAAAGCAAAGTATCAATTCTCTCATTTCTCATACTTTCTCTCAAAACCCAAAATCGGAAAAAACCATGGCCGGAGTTGAATTCCTCTCCAAAGAATATGGATATGTAATTCTTGCTCTTGCTGCCTACTGCTTCCTCAACTTTTGGATGTCCTTTCAAGTCGGCAAAGCCCGCAAACAGTACGGTTTTGTCTAAATCTCTGTTTATTTCTTGATTTTGCCTAATTTTACAAAACCCCTTTTGTGATTTTGAAGCTAAAGATTTGTCTTTTTTTTTTTTTTAGATTTATCCCTAACCCCTTTTGTGATTTGAAGCTAAAGATTTGTTTTTTGTAAGATTTATCCCAACCCCTTTTGTGATTTGAAGTTAGAGATACTGATTAATGATGGAAAACTTAACAGGTACAAGGTTTCTTATCCAACAATGTATGCTACTGAAGCTGAAAACAAGAATGCTAAGTCCTTTAACTGTGTTCAGGTATGCTATCTTCTGTTTAGAGGTGATGACATAGTTTATTGTTTGGTAATTTATAGTTTAGGAAATGATATGGATTTGTTGTTATGTCGGTGTTTTGATTGCAGAGAGGTCATCAGAATTCATTAGAAATGATGCCAATGTTTTTCATGCTGATGATTGTTGGAGGAATTAGGCACCCCTTGATTTGTGCATCTCTTGGAGCTGTTTATATTGTATCTCGCTATTTCTACTTCACTGGTTATTCCACTGGGGATCCCCAAAATCGTCTTACTCTTGGGTTAGTCTCTCGTCCAGAGTCCAGTCTTCCTTGAATGCGGATTTTCATTTAGATTGAATGTTACTAACAATTTGAGTATCCAAAAATGTCGAAGAAGGAAAAGAAAAACTGCTTTTTAGTTTTGCTCTGTATGAACCTTTTGACTAGTGAAGTTAGTCTTTTACTTGCTCTTGCCTGATGCCCTGACTAAGAAACATTAATTCAATTATTCTTGTTATGATGGTGGGGTAAAATTTATCCAGGTCAATGAATGGAAGTCAAGTGTATTTCATACATGCATTTGTCACTTTCATGGTTAATTTTTAGCTGTTACAGGCCGTTTGGTTTAAGGGATTTGGTGGATCATCCCCGTATAAAATTTTAGGATTAAATTTATCTCGTGTTTGGTTGGAGACCTTCCATATAGATGGTGGGATCCATTATCCGAGCTATATTCTTGGTTTTAATCCTATAATCCTTGGATATCCTCGTTTTGAATGAGACGACCCCTTCAGGTTAAATGTCTTTGATTTGATATAAACATGGATGCGATTAAGTATTTATCTGGTTACGGGGGATTAGAATGGAAAAGTTCATGAAATGGTGTGTAATGTTTTGAATGCTAATTATTATGGTTTTACTTCTGTGCAGGAAATACAATTTCTTGGCAATTATGGGACTGATGATTTGCGCAATATCTTGTGGAGTTAATTTCCTTATGTCATGAATAATAGTCTCAAATAGAGCAACCTAACCTCCTTGTGATTCCTTTTATTTCCAGTACGGGATGATGTCTTTTTTATGTCTATTTTGTCATTAATATGAATTAAATTGGTACTTTCTGTATCAAGTTACCTCATCTGCATACTGTTTTCAGTGTTTGCCATTTTTAGTTGCAGTGATTTTATTATGATTTGGAAGGAAATTGACATGGCTCAAGAATAGTGTCATATAACTTCATGGTTGAAATTGTTTGATCTTAACTAGGTCTTGTTCCGTCTTAGTAAATATGACAAAGTGTTTGAATTACGTGACCATCTCATATAGGGAACACATTTTATTAGGTATTTTAGGCACGTAACGTGAACATGCTCTTTGATGCTCGAGCTTGATTCTTTTTCATGCAGAGTATATGTATTAATGTTGGTTCAATAAATAAATAATGGCATGTTTGGATTACTTCAATCCTGAGGTTGGTTTAGTAAAGACTGTAGTTGGGATAACTCACCCTATAGCAGCTTTGCATAGGTTTTAATAACTTGTGCCCCTACAGCTCTTGTATTGCACAAACATCCAGTGTTACCGTGAAGTAAAAAAGTTCGGGTGAGGGTGTTCAAAATTTAATATACATGTACAAAAAGTAACATTTGACCTATGTATATAGTATTAATTTCGGCAAATATCATTCAACTAACCACCTTTCGGCATACACTCAGCCTACCTATCGACAAACTTAAATATATGTTCACATAGGCACCAGAGAAGTCAGCAGAACATGCCATAATGTTTAGATCAATTGTTCTTCTGAACTTCTGCTCCAAGAGAGTTTTTGGCACAGCAGAGCTAGAATGTAGAAAGTGGGTTAAGTCAAATTCAATAATTTTGATTCAAATTTTGTATTTATCTTAAGAAATTCATTTCTGAATAATAACTCAAAAGGACACTAATCCATAAGCTACAAATTTTAGCTCGAGATTTTTGGGACAAAGTCATTGGGGGAGGGGGGTTCGTTTGAACATTTCAGTTAGTGGTTCAAACAAATTAGAAAAATTCCAAACTTATATTGGGAATTCCAACTAAGAAAAAAAAGAAAAAAAAGAAAGGACTAGGAGGCTGCTAATTTATGATTTTAAACTTCTTTTCGATGTTGTTTTGACTTAAAAATAAGTATTACTACTACATTATTATTATTTTACTCAAACACCGTATTTACTTAAAAAAATTTAAAATAAATCAATTCAAACGGGCTCTCTGAGATTTGATGGTTGTTTATTTTCTATTCTCACTAGAAAAAGTTAGCTTAGTCAAACAGTAAAATTTAAAAACCAGTCAAAGCCCTGATAGTGGGGAAGCCTTTATTTCTTTCAAAGCATCCTTCCTAGGTCTTAACATTGGCACACAAATTACTACCATTTGACTATTACGAACTTTTAGATAAAAAAAATATGGAAAATAGTCGAATATGTTTTTAAATGATGTGAAGTTGAATAAAAATGTCACCCGTTAATAGTTTGGTCTAAAAATATCTTTGCCCAATAATATTTTAATTAAAAAATATCCATACTATTAATCATTTTGATCCAAAAATGACATAAAAAGTAGAATCTTTTTCACTATAAAAAGTGTAAATTTTTTTCACTTATTATACAAAAGACATGACTTAAAAAGTAGAAATTACCAGATCTGCTCTGGTATATTTTTCTATGCTTCAGCAAACACCACTAGCTACAAAAGCATACATACTTGTAAAGCTATAAGAGATGAAATGAAATGTTATTACGCACTAGGTTTTATATTGTTTGATCCATGTAGATATGACATAGTTCTTAAGAAAACTTTTATCAATGTATTTTACTAAATTAATCTTATTAATAATATTTTAAAATTCTAAATTTAACTATTACTACTATTTTATGTAATTTAATATTTAATGATAGAAAGAAAAAAATATAATAGAGCTTTCTTGATTTTCTAAATTGGACGAGTAAAATAAAATATCTATATTCAATATAAAAGCCAAATAATATGAAACAGAGGGGAGTACTTGAAATCAACTTTCATATTGCTGAAACTATGCTGAAATATAGAGTAATGAAAAGGGAAAAAAGTCTAAAATATATTTGAACTTTGAACAAAATTGCTGTAACAATATCGAATTTTGGAAAAGACCTTTTACCCCCTGCACTATTTAATAGTGTATTTTAAAGGTATATATGTGTGCATGTGGACATCATAAATATTGCATAATTATAAATAGTAACATGTCCACGTGAGCACATATATACCTTTAAAATACACTATTAAATATTGCAGGGGTAAAAAGTCCTCCATAAAGTTTGATATCGTAACAACAATTTCAGCCAAAGTTGGAATATTTTGTAGACACTTTTTCCTAATAAAAATGATCAAATTTGCCCCAGTAATTTTAAATCATAATCACACTTTTTGACATTGACCCAAAACAAAGCTTCAACACAAAGTAATTTCAAATCATAATCAAAAGTTTAGGAATAAATTTGAACATTTTTTTCAAAAATTTTGAACACAAGACTTTCTTTTCTTTCTAAAAACAAGAATATAAGTGAATAAAAAATTAACGAAGGAATTAATTTCAAATAGAAGGTGAATTTGGTACCTTTGGCAACATGTTAAAATTTGCTTCCCATTATGGTAGGTTGGTTGAATTGTTGCCTTAATTACTCATTTGTCCTAGTGAAATCAATTTTCTCTATATTAAGGCATCACATTTTTAAAAAAAATTGGTACAATTACAACACCAAAATTAATGTGACCCAAATGCCCTCACTGATCAAACGACCGTTGAAGGATTCCCTAATCCAAAAACTGGATCAAGATTCTCATCATTCCCCAAACATACTTTCATAAAATAGCATAACAAAACAACATTTTTTGTTTTTATTCCTTGAAACAACATATAGGTGACAACATTAATTATTTTCTATTTTGAAAAAATTAATAAAACCCTCTTTTAACGGCTCTATTGACAGGCTGCCTCCCCCACCCCACCCCCCTTGCCCGCCTCAGTCAAAATTTGAAATGCCACTTCTGAATCTATTTCTATTACCCCATAAAGTTGCCATTTTTAATTGAGTGGTTTTCTTGAACTCTGAACCCCTTTTCCCCTTTTCCTCTTATCTTTTTCTCTTCTCCTGCCCGTTACAAATCTTTCATCTTCGTGTTGTTTTCTTTCTCACTGCAATTTTGAAAAATTTCAGTTCTTGGGAGAAAAAATGGGGAGTTGTTTGAGTAAGAAGAACACTTCTTGTTCTTCTTCTAAATCTACTTCTACTGTTGCAGTTTCAAATACAAATCAAGAAATTGTTAAAAATAGTACCCAAGTGGAGAACAAGAAAGAGGTAGAAGGAGAAAGTGTGAAAAAAGAGATCTTTGTTATTAAACACAGGAAAAGCCATGAAGTGGATAGGAAGACTGAAGAAGAAAAGGGTATGGTTAAAAAGGGAATTGAAGTAGTTGAGACTGTGAAAAATGGTATTAGTAATAGCAATGGTGGGTTAGGGTTAGGCAAAGAGAATGGTATTGTTGTATCGGCTCCTGTGAGGACTTCAAGTTGTACTAAAGAAGAGGTTGATGCTATTTTGATACAATGTGGGAGGCTTAGCAGGAGTTCATCTACTGGAAAGACAGGGGTTTTGGGTTCTAGTGGATCTACTGATACTCCTCAAAGGAGTAGAAAGTACTCTGGTTCCAAGAGGAGTTTTGATTTTGAGAATGACAATGGTAATGAGGGGATGCAAGAAAATGTAGTGGATTGTGAGGATGATGGGGTTGTTGGGAATGGAGTTCGTCGCCATAGGCAACGCCAGCGTCAGCCTAGAACCCCTAATTCTTCGTCTCAGGGACGGAGGAGAACCCCGAGTAGGGAGAGAGACCAGGCGCAACAGCAGCAGCGGTCGGGGAGTAGTAGAGAAAGAGGCAGCAGTGGAGGAGGGGGTAGAAGGGTGAGCAGATCTCCTGGTAGAAGATCTGACTCACCAATTACTACTACCACAAATGGTGGTAATGTGGCTTCTGCTAATGCTAATGGAAATAATGGTGGTAGGCCAGGGAAGATGGTATCTGTACCTGCTACTGTTTCATCTATGGTGATGGATAAGAGCATTGATGCTGGTGGAACTGACAATATATCTGCTGCTGCTGTTAAGAGGATTCAAGTGAAGAGAAATGCAGGTGGCGACGGACCAAGAACTGCTGCATCTCCGCGTGCTCGGTCACCAGCAAGGGTGAATGCAAAGGTGTTGAATGAGAGAGATAACAATGTTCATTCCAACCAAAATCAACAGCAGCCCATGTCCCTTAGCCGTAGCAATTCAAGGAAACACGAGCAATCTCCCTACAGAAGAAATCCTCTCAGTGAGATTGACACCAATGTTGTCTTGGAGCAGATGCCCGCGCCAGGACTGAAGGTCCCTTCCCAGGTTGGCTCCTTTTATTAGTTTGTAGACTTCTTTAGTAAAAACTCATGTTTTAGTTTTTGCTTATTTATCATAGATTGGCTGATAATTTGCTTGTGCTAGCAAACTTTTGATGCAATGAATTTTAGTTTTGTAGGTCTGGTGTAGGTATAAGTGTGAAATTAGAGAATGGAAACTGATGTTAGTCTTGTTAGAATTTTTGTATTTCTATGTAGGAATAAATGTGAAATTTAAAGAACCTTATTTTCCTTGGAAGATGAATAATTTACTTGAAATAGACCTCTATAGACTAATGAGAGTGGAGTATTCATTGGCCCCGATTAGTATGGGATTTTGATTGATTTAGTATCAATATTGATGTGCTCTCTCTTTGCAGAAGTTGAATGCAGAAACTGTGAGCAATGGCAAAGCCAAGGAGCAGCAGCAGCATAATGTTGCAATGAATGTGATTGTTTCAGGATCCGAAAGCCATAAACCCCAGAGAAGCAGGTCTTTAAGGCTATCTAGAGACCTAGATATCAATCCTGAAGCTCTCTCAAATCCTCCTCAATCATATACTGCACTGTTGCTTGAGGACATCCAAAACTTCCATCAAAAGACTAATACCACCACCCCTGCATTTTCACTACCACCTTGTGTAACGAAAGCTTGCTCAATTGTTGATGCAGTTGCTGACCTGAACTCAACCACTAGCTCCAATCTGTCCAGTGCTTTCTCCGATGACAGGAGAAGAAACCCCACATCTGAGCAATTTAGTCAGAATGATAATGCTTCTTTCGATCCTCTAGGGAAGAAGAAGTTAGGGATCAAGGATCCCTTCATGGAGTCTGAAGTTGCTGTGAGTGATGACCTAATGGAGCCAAGCATACAGAAGTATGTAACCTTCAGAAGGGGAACTGATATGGAAGAACAAGAATCCTCAGGAAGCAACAGTGTTGTTGGTGGTCAGCAAAATTGGCTTTCCCCTTCCTCATGGGAACCAAATTCGGCTGATTCAACTGACTGTTGGCCTTCTTCAAAATCCTACAGTAGAGATGATAACAAGAGTCCTCTAGGCTTTCAAAGGCATGCAATATCTGAGATTGGCCATGACATGGAAGAAGGAAAAAGAAGAGTGAATGTGAAGAGGAGGGAATTTGACAACCAGCAAACAGGAATAGGCCGTGGCAGGGTTGGACTTAGAGGAGGGATTTCTATGCCTGCTTCTACTTAAAACATCGAAGAATTTGTTAAGATGTATGCAGTTTGTTTTAGAATAGAATTTTTAGTTGTGGTTGCACACTTTGCAGCCTTTTGTTTTCATTGAAGATTGTACGCTTTGCAACCTTTCGTTTTCATTGAATGTTGTCTGCAAATGATTTACTTTTGAAGCAAATGTAATTCATCTACCGCCTACTCGTGGGATCTGTGTCACAGTTATTCTTTAAAGTGCTAAAATTGGAGCATCACTTTAATGCAGGGAACAAAAGCATACAAACAAACATGTGTAATAGTTAGTGATTTGGATGCACCATTTCAAATTGACTTCAGAGATAGCAATTAGAATTTCCGTGCAAAAGATGAGAATATCATTTATCCTATAAAAGTCCCTTTCCTACACCTGATATGTATACAGCACACAGTTGGATTTTGGAACTGCCAGTGAGTTAATTCCAATTCGCATATCATTCTTGATGGGGGTGTCAACCTTGAGCACTTCCATATAAGCTATTTGTTCTCTTTAGACAGGAGGAGGATGCCAACTATTCATCTAGTGTCACTTTTATACTAAACCATGTATATTGCAATAATCATAGCGATAGATGCTCTTATTATCTGCTTAGGCCACAGCCATGAAGGTCTCACCAAGATACAGGAATTAAGTAAACTAGGCAAAAGATTGAAGAAGTAAGAATTTATGTATGAAAGATAGAGGGAAAGTAATCAAATATTGAACCTCTTTGGAGTGCAAAAGTCATAGCAAAAAGCTCAAATAAAGTGATTGCACTTCACATTATATCAAGATTGAAATACTCATAGTAATTGTATTACCTTGTTCAGCAGAGAAGCCTCACAACACTAAAGTTGACCTATAGATCACGGGTTCGAACCATGGAATCAGTCACTCAGAGTAGGCTGCCTACATCACACCCCTTTGAGGTGCAGTCCCTCTTCGAACCTTTGTGCACCGAGCTTCCCTTTTTAATTATATTACCTTGTTCAGGAATTTCTTTTGGATACTGATAATTCTGCTCCTTTCACATCAAACCAGTAAGATCAAAAGAAGTAAAGAGGAAACAGATCACTTAATTATATCAATCCAAAATAGTATGAGTAAACAGTGTCAACAGATATTGAAAAAAAAATCTGTAAAAAAAGGAAGAAAAAATAATTATACAGAAAATAATTCCAAGACTGGACTATAACCTAAAACCAAACTGGCAATCACTATTCCTAATCCTGATAGCATTATTTGCAGACAAACTATCCACATCCAGCTTACACTTAACCAAAAAGTTCCACTTCATAAGCTTCAATTTCCCAATCTTGAGCTTCACTGGAACTTTTGCCCTGAGATTCAATGGAATACTTCCTCTCTGTTGATCCACCTGTAGTGCCTGCAACAATCCAGTAACATTCTGTGTTTGTCCTGATAAATCCAAACTAAGTACAGTAGTATTCTGATGACCCTGATAAAATCTTGGCAATGACCCTTCACAAAGCTGAACACCAGTATACCAAACACTCAATTGGCTACCACTTTCATAGTAAATCCCAATTTTCTTGTTGGGGTTTCTTGCAGTGATGTTAACATTAAAAGTAGCAAATAATAAGCTCATGTCATTATTGAAATTGAACTGTGTGATTCTCATGCTGTCAACAGAGTACTTTGGTATTTTTGGCTGGAAGACAAAGTAAAAAGCAGCAGATAAAGCAGCAATGATTATGATGATGAGGAACAACAGACAACAAGTGCAACATAGACATCTTTTGCAAGAACAACATCTTCTCTTTGGTGGTTTTAATGGTGGATAATATGGGATTGTTCTTCTAAAAGGTGGTTCTTGTTGTTGCTGCTGCTTCTCAGGGTCACCTTTTTCTGAACTGAAAGAACCCTTTGGCACTAAAGGGACAGAGGGTTTTTGTACTGGAAGTTCATGTTCTGGTTCAGGTACTGGATGAATTCTTTGTTGCTCTGCCATAGTATAACAAATTGTGGAGTGGATGTAACAAAGAGTGTAGTACTTGGTTAATATATATAGAATCTTGAAAGAGTATAACTCTTATTTTTTTTTCCTTTATGTATTTGGTATCCGAAACTCACTAATCTGAATTCGGCTCACACGTAAACGATGCAATTACCTGGAAAATAATTCACCCATAAGAAAATAAGTAGTCATACTTCTATTTATAATAGTGCAAAACCTATTTTAATTAGAATTTGGAAACCTTGTTCTAATATTATTCTGACAACAAATTCTATTTAGACATGAATTAAAGAAACTTAACATAATTCTAAATCGTAAACCATTTAGATTAAAATATAATTAGTGTCATACGTCAAGATCTATATGTATAAATTATAATTATTGAAGTTTCCTTATTTTGACTTTTTTTTTTGTAAAGAGAGGTTGATGTGTCCCCATCTAACATCTTAATTAAAAATTTGGTATTCTAATAGTACACACTTTGCTTTAATGAGTAGTAAATATTTGCTGACTGCTCATTGGGAAGTAAAAAGAGGGGGAGATGCAATTTTATGAGTCAAAAAGGTGACGCGTTAATGTTTTCCAAAGTCAGTGTTTGGTTTGTGTGGAAAGTTATTAAATGTGTTTTGGTAAGTGAACAACTGAAATTTATAAAGTCTAAATAGTTTGAATTTTGTTTTTCGAGTGCTATCCTACCCGGTGAACGCAATGCGACCGACATTTAAAATATATTATAAAAGTGAAGGTAATATATGCATATATTTTATTTTTTGTAAACCGATCACATTGAGTATTGTTATTATCGTTATTGTAATATAATCAAAATATTCAATTAGGTTGCTAATAGAACTATATCCTCTCTAGTCCAGTATAATTACATTGTTGGAGTGTGACACATCCTTTAAAAAATATATTTAAAGACATCAATCAAAAGGTAATTTGTTATTACTACCCTTTTGATTCTTCCAAACTCTTCTTAAAAGTAATGATAATTATTTGAGATTGAAAAATAGTTGAAACTCCCACTTAAAAGAAAAGTAATTCTATTAATAAAATAAATAAATTAATATATTCTAAAAACTTTGAAAAATTCATATATTTTGAACCATAAAAAAATGTCAACAATATATTTTTATTGGACTAGAGGGAATAGTTTTTAACCTCCACAATAATACCCTTGTTTTTCTCTCCCCCACTTGACAAAGTATAATACTTTCTTTATGAACTAGATGTCTTGTACAAAAAGATAACTACGTAATTAGATCATTTCAGAAGTATGTATTATGTATAATAATATTGATTTGACAATCTATAATAAATTATAATCGACTTGTTATATAACATATTAAATTACATTATTAATATAAAATTTTCATTATATTATAATCTAACAACTTTAAATCCTCTAAGAAAAAAAAAAGGAACTCTGTTGAATAGGCAAATAGGTCAGTGTTACACATGTAGACGCTACCTAAAAAATAAAATAAATGAAAACTTCCGTTTAGTTATTTCTTCCACATTTGCTTTTCTTCTACTACCAGTTGTTATATGAAGAAGTCTTAGGCATCAACAAACAAAGTTTTTAGAAGCTTCCATAAAACTAGTACTCCTTCAATTTACATGTTGTATGACCAGACACGATATTTTTAGAAAAAATAGAAAATTTTTAAATTTATAATTTAAAACAAATTATAAATTAATAAATCAATAATTAAGGGTATATTATTCAGTTTTTTTTTCTTTTAGAATTAAAATCAATAAATAATATTAAATTAATTCTAAAAATATGTACATAAAATATCTAATTTTATGAAAAAAATCAAAGATTTACTTGCATTATAATTTTTGGACAAATAATTCTCCTCTCATAAAGCAATACCAAATCCTCTTTTGACTTTAAGGAGAAGGTGCGGCTGCCTATCCATTTATTAGAGCCAACAAACCCAATAGCCATCGATTGTTGTATTTAGTTAATCAGCAAAAATGTTAGGATTAGTTCAACCTTAGGTAGTTTACTACACTATAGAAATGTATTTATGTATATATAATCAAATGATTGAAATAAATCGATATATATTTTCGCTTTTCGGGATCGAAAATAATTGTTTAGGTTGTATATACTTTCAGGGCGGAGATAGAAATCAAGATACAGGTTCAACTGTGTCTAGTAACCTTAGTCCAAATAGTGTATTTTTTTTATACTTGGAAATGGAGAACAACATATTTCCTTCAGTATCTATCAAACAGACGTAAATAAAAAGAAAAGCTTGATTTGATTTCACAATGACCACACTCTACAAGCTCAACCGAGTTTTTAAGAAGAAAAAGAAATCGAACAGACATAAGATTACTAAAACTGCAATTTTAAAACTAAGTTTGTAGGCAATAAATACAATCAGCTTACTGGTCTTTTCCCACACCAAGGATCCACTGTGCAAGATGAGTCAAGTATGGTTCAGCTCGAGAGCCACTGCTTAGTATCGGTCCCAGGCTATGAAGCTCAAAGGAAAATTCCTTCTCAAATTTCCTGCAAAATGATTACAGTTAACTATGAGAGACACAGATAAGAGAGATTAAAAACCAAAAGTACAAATTCGTTATAACATACAGAACGGATTCTAATACTGTGACGTTTTCAGGAGCTAGCCTCAGCATCTGATATGGGGTCCTTAGTTTCAAGTTCTTATATTTTTCTATACTGGGAGAATCATTAGACAATGTGTCATTGTCATTAGGATCCAACGAGGAGGTAATCAGCCGTTGCATTGCAGCTGCATATTGCAGACATATCAATTTCAACCTCTCCACTTTCTGCATTTAGAAAAATATTCATGAGAAAATCAGGACAGTAAAAATAGTTAGAACAACAAAATAACAAAATTGATCCCCTGAAGGAACAGACTCGAAACCTAAAACGTAATCTGGCAGTTGCTACAAATGTAGGTTCTTGAACATTGCAGAAGGGCTATCATCAGTATCATCTTTTGTGAAGATGTTATAATTAGGAACAAAGTAACTGAAGGACACCAATAACCATGACTGGAAATCATAACTAACCTTAAGAAGGGCAGGTGATAGAAGCACACATTCCCTCAAGCACTTATCAAGAAAAAAGTCATGGTATTGGATAACCTGCCCCAAAAATGAATCAAAGAATCAATGAGACAACACATCAAGTTGAAACAGAAGGACCACCCCAGCAAGAGTCTCTCCTATAATCTGTTTAGACACAAAATTTCTTTGTACATAATCATTTTACCTCGTCAATGCTTTTCGCTGTTTGAAGTCTACTGAGCATTACATGCCAGTTAGGTTCAAGCACCTGAAGATACAATAAAATACTGGTTCAATCTGACTAGCAATACACATCAAAACTTATACTGTCAACCCTCTTGTATATCAGCCAATAAAATATCAAAATTTTTACAGTCAGCCGTCTTTTATATCAGCCAATATAATTCATTCATTTGACCTTCTAACAAGAGAAAAAAGAAACAGCTGTCTTCACTAGTTTAATAGATGTACTAAAGAACATGTCTAATATAGCATTGATAATGAAGAAGAATCGTGAAAGAGAAGGATACATCAGTGATGGTATGGTGACAGTGATGAAAAGAACAGTGAGAAAAACTGGGAAACTCAAAGTATGCAACCAGAAATTAAAATAACAAAGGAAGAATAACATATCAAAAAAATACAAATAGAGAAGTAGGAAACTCAAAGCAATCAAGCAGAAATTACTGTACCAAAGACAGGCAGACATAGCAAACTAACATAGGAATTGCAGTTCCCTGAGAAGGGGTGAAACTTGCCTCAAATGTCAAATAGTGTAGGAGACTATTTATGAACTTCAGCATATTGCGACATAACAAAGATGATACAGAAACTGTAGTTCCTTGCATGTCAAGCTTGCGGAGACCCTATAATAACAAAATAAGCAAAAATGCAAATCTATCAGAAGTCAAAAAGGAAAAGAGAAGCTACTTTACTATTGTTAGTAAAAGTAACTGAAAGCTCATACCTGATGTACTTGCCATGCCCCAGAGAGTTGCCTATCAACATGCTTACAGTGAAATAGAAATCTGAAAATCAACTGATATTTTGTCAAGGCTTTCCGTGATATTACAAGAGATAAGGGCCATCTAACCTGAAACACAACAAATGCAACCAGGCTCAGGAGGCAATAATATAATGACCCAGCAAAAATAATGCCACAACCTTTAATGTCAATCTCACCAAAACAGAAAATCAAGAGAAGAAAACAAGATGCTCTCCCTCAGCGTTAGCTAAATATGGTTGTTGCTAGGTGGCACTCAATGAACAGATTAACATCATTGCACACAGCTACAAAAGAAAATGTAACGCAGAGACAAATAAGACAAGTATAACAGGAGGGGAAAGTGAGTATTTTACTCCCCAATTGATTCTCTTGACTTAGCTAAAAGTATAGACAAATTTCCTGCTAATTACTGTTAAAGAATGACAAAAATCCCACATTAGCGGTTAATGAGATGAGTGGACTCCTTATAAGGCTTGGGCAGTCCTCCTTCCTTTGAGCTAGCTTTTGGGGTGTGAGTTAGGCCCAATACCTAACTTAACAACTTTTTTGAAATTGGCCAGGTATTGAACAGCAAAATTGCAGCAGACTGTTTTCTCTTACATAAGTTCTGGATCTATGATTGATATAGAAGACATAAAGAACTGTTTTTATGCAATTTTCTGTTCTTTCATCTCTTTTCTTTTTCTTTTTGTTGTGTTGAGCTGCGGTGTAATTTCCTTCAATTAGAAGAGAAATTAGAAGGCAAACCTTGTAATTCAAAGAAAAAGTTTCCAAGCCAGTAATGCTCAGTGGCTCCTCTAAATCATTGCTATCTGGAGCAGACCGGCTGATTTCAAGATCTTTCAATGTACTCAATCTTTTCAATAAAGTAGTCCTCTCCTGAGAAAAGATGGACCATTTTTTACATAAATGCAGCAGATTATCTCCATGTCTTTGAAGGTTAAACAGGCCAAGGTAATAATAACTCACCACACAACATAATAAGTCCTCATGGCAAGGATCTGCACCAGCTGCAGTAGATCGCAAAGCAAGGTCTAGAAGAGACTACTCAGAAGAACGAAAAGAAGGTGACACCACATTATAAAGAGCTTCAAATGATTTCCCTATTTAGAGGAAGCAGAAAACTAAGAACTATGTATAAACCTGTAGCTTCTCCACAGAGATCTCATCAGGCTTCTTCATGAGCTCCTCTCTAGCTGTATCCATGAAGTGCACTAAGAAATCACCCTGCATGGACAGTTGTAGTGAGTACGAATATAAATTTCTTAATGGAAACCAGCACCAGAACAATACTTTAACTTCCATCTACAGAGAGCACACATAAAGAAATAAAGAATGAAACCAAAGAAAAATTCAAAACCAGGTTCAGGATGACAGAGAAGCATACAATGATTCTAAATTTGCATTTTAATTGATGGATTTGCTTGTTTGGAACGGATAGGCATAAGAATGTCTAACATTTTCTTCTTCCTGCAACACATTTTGATGCCAGCTGCTAGGCAAAGAAATATCTTCTTTTACTAAAAGAAGATAATGCGAAGGGACTGACTAGTTAATAAAACAAAGTTATTGAAGCATTCCACTGCATGTAGCATTTAAATTCCAAGTTTACCAGGTATTTTCCCCATATCCAATTCCCAAACTATCATAAACTTAGATATATAATTTGTTAATCGCTAGCTGGTACCTGATCAAGAAGAAGATAGTGCTTAATAGATTGCAGTTTACCCATGAGATCATACTGCCAAAGAATAGAAAGGTTTCATTAGAGAAAAGTTTCATGTAAAAGCATTTGCAGTAACAAATCAAGAAACATGGAAAAAAGCTGTCAAGAAATATCTTTCTTGCTTCAGCACACCTTGTTTTTAACAAGATTTAATAGTTCGCCACTGGCAAAATCATAAGCAGACTTGATGCACTCCAAATAGTGATGATTTGAGCCTGCACTTGTCAACTTTGACTTTTCTGCCACAGGGATCTAACAAAAACAATTTGGTCACAAGCCTCTGCTAATATTACTAATGGAATTGTAATGCAAAGAAAGATGGAATAGCTTTATTGGGTGAACATATAGCAGCAATGGGATCTTGTCAAAACCTGAATGCTATGTCCACACTCTCTCATGACATTTAAATATTTTCCAGTGATCAAAATTGTTTCCGCTGCATTTGCAAGGAAGCTAGGAATTTCATCTTTCAGGCTGTAACGTTGTTGCCAGTACTTGGCATCATAATCTTGAGTAAGACTCTCCTGTGGAAATCACAGTGAGACCAATGAGATGTCAGCAACTAAGTAAAAAAGTGTTACTGAAAAAGATGTACCTTCTGAAGAGACTTGTTCTCAGCAATAAAGAATTCACCATAAGGATCATCAATCACTCCTTCATACACCCACCTAAAATTTTAGGGTAGTTCACATTGAGAAACAACAGTAATTCACTATAAAAGAACGGAAAGTTCAACAGTCTGTCAAAAAAGGAGAAAAAGCGACACACCTTAATACCTACAAAAGGCAGTTGATGAAAACCTAACATTTACTCTAGAAGACAAGAAAACAAGTACTTTACTTGCTTATTATCGTGGGAATAGTATAAAGATTAAAAAAAAATGCATTACCAATTTAGCTGAAACTCATTGTTCAAGGAAACATTCACTACTTTTTAACATGTGTGATAACTACATCAGCTGATATCCCAAGTAGACATTATTAGCATAGACACATCAAGATCAAATAGCAGATATAGGAAGCACTACTCCTTTAACCCTGGCGATTTATGTATCACCAACTTCTTTTACACTTAACAAAAAGTAGAAACATGTTATTTTAGGACAAAACAATAATTGATTAGGCAATTCCCAGACAATGAGAGGTCGGCCAGACCTTAAGCAAACTTGGATAATCATTGCAGAATCTAGATTAAATACCTCTCTAATATTCCAAGATACGCAGTGCTTGCTGATTGTGACATCTTTTCCAGCAAAGACCTCACTACGTGATCACCAGCCATTGCCTTTGCCTAAAACAGAACAATTACTCTGTAAATAAATATAGACCCCCTCTCCTCAAATAGAACATATGTAGTTTGTGTTAAGAATATTGTAAATGATATTGTAGACCATTTAGGACTAATTAGAGAGATTCTTTCCTATTTTAACACTCGTACATTCACTTTTTAAGTCCAGCAACTTGAGGGAGTAATCAAGCTAAGTTTTCACTCAATTATTCCATGTTTTATTTGTTCAGATGGTATCATAGCATTGGTGAGATAATTCTCGTTGTGCAGCCACCAGCGACGTTCAGAAAGAAGAAAAATAGCCACCGCTATTGTTACAGATAACTTTCAGATCTGTTTGCATTAGCTCTCTATTTCGTGAATGTTGTGTGAGAACCAATTATCCCTTCTTATCTTTTTTATGACCAAGAAACTTGTTTCGAACCAACCCTTTGGGCCAACTGCAGTTTCCGGAAATCCGGGATGATGGCTCCGCCCTTTACCCTTCTCCACTTAAACTAGTCTGTTCGTTTGGCACAGGGCTCACACTAGTGATTTAAGATACAAGTCCCTCATCCTTTGCCAATTGAGATAAACCCCGGGGGTTATTCCTTATCTTATTTTCTCAACAATTCTAAACATATCAAAATAGAGTCTATTACGGATACTTAAAAATTTGTTCAAACTTCCCATGAAGATTTTGCGAATGAGAAAGACTAATGGACTAAAACTATTAGGGGTCGTTTGGTAGAGTGTATTAGGAAAAATATTACTAGTACCTTGTTTGGTACTCTTTTCTAATTTATGTATAACACTAATGCTTGCATTAGTTATACACTCTATTGTGTATTAAGGTGTGCATTACTAATACCATAGATTTCTAGGTATTAGCAATGCAATGGTTTTAATGCATGCATTAACTCAATTAAAGACCCAATTATCCCTCAAAACCTTTTGTGTATTAAGGTGTGCATTACTAATACCATAGATTTCTAGGTATTAGCAATGCAATGGTTTTAATGCATGCATTAACTCAATTAAAGACCCAATTAGTTATACACTCTATTGTGTATTAAGGTGTGCATTACTAATACCATAGATTTCTAGGTATTAGCAATGCAATGGTTTTAATGCATGCATTAACTCAATTAAAGACCCAATTATCCCTCAAAACCTTTTATACATCTTTTCCACCATAATAGTGGAGGGTATCTTTGTAAATAATTTTTTTTATGCAATAAATGCTATTTTTAGTGCATCAAACCAAACAATGCATAAAAATAATTTATGTATAATTAACGCAAGCATAACTAATACATGCATTACTAATGCAAGCATTACTAATACACTCTATTTAGCATTATTTTTATACTCAACCAAACGACCCCTTAAAACATAAAAATTGCAGATCTCACTTTGATAACCATGCAAAACCAAACCACAAATGTTCAAGCAAATATGGAGTTTAAACCATGGTAATGAATCTATGGTATTCCACAATTCTAGGGGAACTCAGACATAGATCCCTTAAAGTTATGAAAAGTGACATTAAGACGTCAGACCTGGCTTTGCAAGAGGTTAAGGACTGCAGAACCAACACAGTTATTGGCTGCAGCCTTTTTCACCACCATAGACAGTGCTTGCATTGAACCCATCATTGGCTGCAAGAAATAGCTTCATAAGCACCAATGACGATGAGTCAAACTAAATGGAAATTAAACTAGTTTAAGCAGTGTTACCTGGCAGTAAAACCATAATCCTTGTATGGAAAGTTTTCCTAAGCGAAATTGATGTTCAAGCTGTGCCACCATTGCTTGGTAGTCCTGATAAAAATATATTCTAGCCTTCAATTAGCTCTCCCTTTTTAGTTTCCTTTATTATTCTTTCTCTTACTACTACATGTTACATGTATGTCCACACAGCATGGGACAATTATGGAAACAACTCATGGCATCCAAAAACCTTAGATAATTAGCTGAACCAAATTAAGGAGCAGACAGGTTTTCTCAGCTTCCCAGGAGATAAGCTTCCGAAAGTCACATTAATCCATCCACAAAAAGAGATTTTTATTTTATAAGGTAAATAATTCTTTTAGTAATAATTGAAAAATTCTACCATATACAAGCTATACCAAGGAGGAGAGAATCTACAATATCCAAAAAGAGATTAAACAAATCATGAAGATGATTCCATACTCCCAGAAATGATTTCTCAAATATAAAATTTATACATCCTCAAGAAGAGCTTATACATAAGATAGATAATATACCAGATAAACAAGTAGAGAAAAAAATAATCCACCATGCAACCATAGAAGGATCAATAAATAAGAAACTTACAAGGAGGAGTGCCCTTAGAGCTGCAGCAAAGGCATGATTGACTAGACCCGTTTTGAACTGTGACCTTGTCTCCACAAACTGGTTAATCAAGATATAACTTTCGCATAAGGGGAACAGCCTTTTTGCAAACTCCTACAATAATAGTCCAAATTATTTCAGCTAATGTTTAAACTAAATACAATATGGATTTTCCTTCACGTTTACTCGGCATTTAGCCTCAAAATATTTTGTTGCTTTCGAACACTATATATCAGGGATGAAATGTCTCATTTTTTCCTTAGCTATTCTTACTAAAAACATAGCTCCCTATATGTACCTGAAGAGCTAAATCCATAGATGCATCAACCTGAAAGGTTATGTCATCCTCCTTCCCTCGGACTTTCTTGATAGAAATATAGCGTCCTTCAATTCCAATCAGGGTAGATAGAAGATCATCAATAACAAACAATTCCTGCATAAGAGTTAAGACAATATTTTAATAAATGACGGTGACCCTGACCAAACTTAAAACCAAGATCGTCAAGTTCATATAGGACATAACATATTAACAAGAAAAACCATTTAGATGGGCCACAACATAATAGTCCTCACTATCCTTAACCTTTAAAACTTAAGCAAAAAAATACACAAATATTCACAGGACCTTAAATTGCAAACAATATCAACACACACACAAGAGGAAGACATGACATATGTTGACTACTACAGTCTCGTTAGAACTTATGATCCAGGTGTATACGTTTGGAGTCAAATATATAACTTCTTCTTACTGGCATTATACTAGATGATAACAATAAGAGTGACAACCAACAATAATATGAACAAAAATTATAAAAAGATGGACAAGGAACAATCTATTTGATTCAACAGAGGCATACCTGAATGGTGGCATGGTAACAACCTATAGCTTTATCTGCTCCGGAACTGCATTAAAAATTCCAGACAGAAACAGAAAATAAGTAGGAGATGTACCAAATAGGAGTCACCAATTTGAATTAAAAAAGCAAATCAAACACACCAAGATAAAACACATTAATAAAAAAAGAAAATTGAATTGTAATAGCAGAAAACCAAGGAACAAAAGGGGAACCTTGAGTCCGCAGAAACCCCCTTGTATTCAGTAGTTCCAGGCGTAATCTTTGTTTCCTGTATGAATTTTCAAGGGGCAAAATAGTTTCAATTCAACATAGTACATCAAGCAAAAGAAGAAAAGAAGGGTGGAAAACCAAGAAAGCAGCATTCAAGAAGAGTCGAAAAAGTCCAAGAAAATGAAGGTTTTAGATAATGGCATGAAGGGGTTTTTTGCATACATATGTCAAGCAATAAAATGGTGAATACCTGATAAAATTGGCCAGAAAGAAAAGGACGATCGAGATTCCAAGCAGGAGTTGATGGGCATAAAGAAATTGCAGCGGGTGAATCCATGTAATTCGTCTCAAATCTTGAAGTTGAAGTAAATGGGGATGACCCAACTCAGTTTCAGCACGCTGCCAAAAGGGAATTGCTCCACCGGCAGTTCCGGTGACTGTTTGAAACCCACAATGCCACCGCAGTTCAATTCTGAACTCACGAAGGGGATGGGATGAACTTGAACTTTCAAGATTTCACAAAGTGTTTCTCCTTTTTGGGTTGATGTTCTGATTTAGCTGAAGATGAAATTTTTGGGAAAGCAAATTCAGTCGTTTAAACAAAAAGAGAACTGCGAATTTTGCCCAGAGATAGTAGGAGTGGTTTTCTTTTGTCAAAAATAAATAAATAATAATAATAATAATAACACACACACACACATATATATATATATATATATATATATATATATATATATATATATAATTTCAAAAATACCCTCCATTTATAGTTTGACTTAAAAATATTCTTACTATTAATATTTGGTTCAAAAATGTCATTTTCTGAATAAATATATTATTATTTTTCCTTTTTAAACACATCTTCTTCCTAATTAAAATATTATTAAAGAATCATGTTCTTGTTTTCTTTCTTTTAAAATCACTTTAACAAATAAAAATGTAGGAAATATTTTTTCTTCTTAATCTCATTTTATCAATTAAAATAGAATAATTTCATGTACCCTTTCGACATATAATATATGTCATATATAAAATATCATAATATATCCATCATTAATTTATATTTATATTATGATAAAAATATTTATAAAAAAATAAGAAACATTTTCATTTTTTATTTTTTTCTGAATTAAAAATAAACATTTGCTAATTTTAAGAAAAATATTATTAGAAAAAAAGAATGTGTTAAAAAGAAAATAAATAATATATTTATTTGGAAAATGAGCATTTTTGACCTATTAAACATAAGGGTATTTTTGGACCAAAATATTGACGGCAAAGACATTTTTAGACCAAACTACAAACGAAAGACATTTTTGTTCCTTTCACATAGTTTAAGGACATTTTGACCCTTTTCCCTAATTTAAATATTATTAATGTAAAAAATCATAATATGACCAATTTGCCCTTATTAATACATACTACTATTATTTAATTACTTTCATAAACATATTTTATTCGGCAATGAACAAAGATTAAGTTAATGAATATTAAAGGGGTATGAACTGACTTTTTTAAGTATAAGTTAAATATCCAAAATCATAAATTGAGAACATTCAACTTTGACATTTTTTTTGTTTTACTTTTTTCAACTTTAAAAAAGTGTTTAAAATGTATTTTATGTCATTCAAACACTTACAAAAAAAAAAAATTAACTTAGAAGATAAAAATCACTAAAAATAAGTTAATTCAAACACTAAGATTGTTGTGATATTTTCATATTAATAACAATTAAGTTAAAGAATTGTTACCCAAAAAAAAAAAAAGAAGAGAGAAATGTAATATCACACATTAGGGGGCATCTCAGAAATTTTCCCTAAAATTAAATAATAGCTTTCTTCATTTTTTATCTTCTTCAACTTTTGGCCTGCTAAAATACAGTCTGCCAAAGATAATTGATTTTTTCACAAATTCTGTGTGCTTGAACTGATCTTCAAATAATATAAAAGTTGAATTCAATTTTTCAATAAATTCAAAAAAGAAAGTGAGTTTAGAAATCTTAACAGTATGAATTTTGGAAAAACGTAAAATCTAATAGCCTTTAGCAAAACTTTCAAAATCTGTTTATTGTTTATTTCTCAAAAAGTGTTTTTCGAAAAAAAAGTATTTTTTTTAGAAAGAGTAGTTATTTGTGTTTGATGAATGAATTTGAATTATTATTATATTTTTGGTCATATCAAAGCAACAATAGAGTTCTTTGCACCTAAAACATGCATCATTTTGTGCTTTCCCTCCTAAGTCCTATCATATTATTTGTAATGATTTACACCTAAATCTCTTTATTTTATTGCAATACAATAACACCTTTTTTCATGATATGAAATACCCCTTAGGGACTATAGTTACAACAAACTTCATGAGATATATGTCATTTTACCTAAACATAAAATTAATTATGAATCACTCATAACATATGTCTAATTTGATATGATATTATTAGCAGAATTATCTAACAAAGCCATGGAATCAGACGAAAATGTCATAGAACTTCCCATCATCTGATAAACAATAGGTGGAGATTGAAGAGGCTGAGGAGGTACTTCTAGCAGTTCAATTTCACCTTCCAGCATTTCTAATACTTTACTCATCGAAGGGCGTTGTATCGGATTTGTTTGTATGCACCATAATGCAACTAAACTCAGCTTTCTAGCCATCTTCTTCTCATCATCATTCGCTTCTTCATCCACCACAATCTCCTTCCCCTTGTTGAACTTATCGTAAATATAATAAGGAAAATATTGGCTGGAATTCTCTTCATTTGCAACTTCATGTCTATTCAAGTCCAGCATTTCCATTAGCAGCATTCCAAAGCTGTAAACATCAGCTTTGTAAGAGATTTCGCCAATGCTTCTGCTGATCAACTCTGGAGCAACATATCCAATAGTTCCACAAGCAGCTGTGAGATTCACAATGCTTTAATCTGTTGGATATAATTTCGCAAGCCCAAAATCAGAAATCTTTGGAATGAAATTCTCATCCAAAAGAATGTTGTGTGGCTTGATGTCAAAATGCAAAATTCGTACATCACAGCCACGATGCAAATACCCAATTCCTCGAGCCACTCCAAGAATAATGTCGTACTTCCTCTGCCAACTTAACAGAGGACTTCCTTCTTGACTGGTGCTGATGTACTTATCGAGTGATCCGTTGGGCATGAAGTCATATACAAGAGCACGTTTTGTTCCTTCAACACAATACCCCACGAGTCCGACCACATTGACATGATGAATCCTTCCAACGGTAGCCACTTCATTCATGAAGTCTTGACAACCAGCTTTTGGCTTGCTCAACATCTTCACTGCTACATCTCTTCCACTTCGAAGCGTTCCTTTGTATACACTGCCATAACCTCCCTCACCTAATTTCTCTTTGAATCCTCTGGTCATTCTGTTTATGTGGGAGTAATTATATCTGATTGGCATGAAGTTGTTTTGTGTTCGCAAAAAGCCTTCAATAGTATCATACATTGACAAATGTCTCCTTTTGAATTTGTACACCAGAAATCCAATTATGAACGGTAGGCCGATCACACATTTTGCTCCCCAATACATTGCACGGTTGAGAAGTCATATAAAGTAACTTGCTCTTAAGCCAACGATACATAGTGATGAATGATGATCAGGAAAATTTTATTTTTCTTGACAATTACATTGTTAAGTGTCCCACATTAGTTGAGGGAAGAGTTGTGTGTTGTGTCTTAGATATTCCTCATCTCATGAGCTAGCTAGCTAGCTTCTAGGATGAGCAGGATCAGGCACTAAGGTAAGGCAAGTGAAGTCCTTGCCTTAGGCACCAAATATTGAAGTGAAGTACTATATTAGTATTATATAAAACATACAATTTGTGTAGTTATTAATAAAAAAAAGATATCAAATTTTAACATTTTCTAAAATTTTGTGAAGATTGTATAGTCGAATGAGTAACATCATAAATCTTCTCTGTGTAAAAATAATTGTAATCTCTCTTGTTGAAGGGATAAGAGCGCGCTTAGCTTACTTTCGAGATACAAGAGTAGCGGCCTTCTGTTCCCTGGTTAGATTGAAGTCCAGAAATTAGCATATTTAAACTGACAGAGATCCATGGATACTTGATATATTTAGAGAGAGAAAAGATGAACTTACAGATAAACCATTGAAAAAGACCTACAAAGACATAAAATTTAAGTTGTAGTGAATTCTTTGTTTTGCTAACGAATATTAATTGAATAAGTAAACAGACATGTCGTCCTTACTTAAATGAATCATTTCTGTGACTTCCAGATTCTGATGATAAATTAGCTCAAACCCATAGATGAATGCTTGATGAAGATCAGAAAGGGAAATGTTGCTGTCATTTTTAATATTAGGCCAAGAGGTCATGGCTATAAATTCCACTTTGCATCCATCGCTAACTTCAGATGCACTCATTTCTCCAATCTTTAAATAAGTGTACCTGCTTAATTTGCAGCCACTAATTTCCACAAATGTCGAGTTATTAACAGCAAATGGACAGTTGAATATGAAGATAGGCTCTGCTACTCTTTTAGTACTACTCTGTGATCCATTATTAGTGTAATTATCATATGGATGAAAACGCGAACTATTCATGTATTGTTGAAGGCTGGTAAGCTGAGGTAATAGAGAGCATAAATCTTGTGTTTGTAAAGTTGGATCTACGACGTGAATTGTCCGATTAACATAGTTGATGGCTTGAACGTGCAACTTCTTGGAGAATAACCATATAACCGTTTGGTTACCTTCACAAGCTAGTTCATATTCTGGAAATTGCATTGGACCAGTATTTGAGCCGAAAAGGTAACTATATTTTGGATCAGTCTTTAAACGAAAAGGGTATCTTATGTCAGGGATATTTCCACAAGCAGAACGGACATAGTAGTGAAATTCGCTATTCCTAGCATAACATGTTTCAGAAATATTCAGAAAGATGATCAAGATTATTGTTATACATTTTAGAAGAGAGGTTCCTCTAGACATATCAAAGAGGTTAACTGTTGATTAAAGGTTGAGCTTTCTTATGTCCTGTACTCTATCAATCATCTATTTAGGTCTTGATTTTTCATCTCCCCATAATTTCAAATTACTACTAGCAAACAAGGTAGACTGATCTAGTCCACATATACCATGTGCTGATTTGGACTATGCCCAAAATGACTTGTCAATGAATATCTATCCACTCCAACTACCCTCTATTTAAGACTGGATTAATTAGGTGAGTTATAATTGGCCTGAATTTGACCTAGTCATGAATTTTCCAAGTACAGGAAGAAAAGGGTGGGTCAAGTCGGATATGGGTCGGTCAAAAATGAGTCAGGTGAAAATGGATTAAATATTCGACTCGACTCATATTTAATATGGATAAAAATGGGTAAACCCAATCGAGAGTCGGGGTTGGAAGTTGGATTGTCTGGACTCATTTCAGGTGGTGAGGTTTAATGAAAGTTTGAAAAATATTTTCCTGATTTAAGGAAAGTTGTGATTTTTTCCCCTTACTTAACATATGGAAGTCATATTTTCTTAAATTAGAGGAAAAATATTTTCCTAATTTAAGGTAAGTTGTGATTTTTTTCCGTTACTTTACATATGAAAGTCTGTTTGAAAAATATTTAGGTCAATCAAACATGAAAAATTTGAAAAATATTAATAAGTGCACTTTTTAGTAATTCCAACCCCTTACATATTTGAAGGAGAGTGCAATTGGAAGATAACGTTACCCATATTTTATGATGAATAATATGAGATGATCCATATGTTATGTAATCGGTATTCTAAATAATACTATTGATAACCAGGAACTTTGCAGAAACAACAAATTTGCAAAGTTTAAATCATATAGTAAAGAACAAAAATTAATTAACAAAAACTAATTGCTGTAAAACGTACCAGAATGGAAAGAAAATTGAGCTCACTGAATGCACAGTGTCCTCGTAAGGAAATTATTCCTCTCTAGTATCCAAGGTTGAATTGGAATATATCCTCCCAGGATATAATGATTTTATTCACCACGATATTGAAGAATCACTGGTATTTATCAACCTTTCAGAATAGTCATCTCCAACGGTGGGAAATTCAAATAAAATGGGAAAGTGTGTTAAATAAACTGGTCGCGCGGATCCGAGTCGGGTCGGCGGGACATTTCAGCTAATTATTTAAATAATAAAACATTATTAACTAAATAATTAAAACAAACTTTGTCCAAAAAATAATTTCTCGATTGAGCCAAAGCCGAGTGACGACATTGGCGCGAGGGGGTCCCTCTTTCCAACACTTTTAACAACTAATAGAAGTGTTTATCTATTTAAATACTTTTATTTTTCTTTCCACCACCAATGAGGGAGAAATGTCTTTTTACTAAAGCATAAGAGAACTTTTCAAGTTTCTTTCTTTTCATCTTCCCTCCATTTCCCATTAACGCATGCTATATACCCAACACCATATTTAATCCAATTTTAATTAGGCATAATACATAAATATACCCTTTAACTTTGCTTCAAATTACATTTATGCCCTTCAACTTTGGGTGTGTACAACTAGTTAAACTTGTATAAAGTTGAATAAATACACACACATGTCCAACATGGCATCCTACATGTAATTTTTTGTCCTACGTGGTGTCCTACGTGTATTGTGCCACGTAGGACTCATGTGTCTACTTGCTCAAGTTTATACGAGTTTAAGTGCCTACTTGTGCATATTCAAAGTTGAAGGGCATAAATGTGAAATGAGACCAAGTTAAAGGGCACATTTATGTATTATGTCTTTTAAATAATTGAATAACCAATCCATTTTTAAAATGGGTTAATCCAACGAATAACTATAAATTTGACCCATTTTGCCACCCCCAACAGCAAGGTATGTGGAAAAGTCTGCTCCACAATTGAATAGTTTCAAAGAAAAGATATTGAGGAAAAGTCAGTCTTGAGAGTCGGAAAATGTTGCCAACACATATTAGCATATCAAACCAAAGAATGCAAGTAAGAGTTTTAGAAATGTCCATCTTACTTTTGTTGGTATTTTTCCCATTGTTTAGTGTAGGACACAGACTAGTGGGTTGTGAGGATTCTTGGTGCAAGAGTGATGGTCCCGTCGTTCATTTCCCATTCAGACTCAGTCATCAACCAAAACATTGTGGCTATGATCCTGGCTTTGAACTACACTGTAACAATAAAAAAGACATCATCCTTGAGCTTCCCCCGTCTGTTCACTTAGTTGTTGAAAAGATTGATTATCTCTCACAGAAAATTCACCTTTATGATCCTGACCAGTGCATAACAGCCAAGCTACCAAAACTGAATTTGTCACAATCTAATTTCAAAAATAAGTACTATCCCACAGTCCTATTCAATTGTTCTGCACCATTAGCGGCCAATCGTGATTATGAATTAGTTCCTTGTCCTGGTTCTTCTGGTTACAAAGTTTATGCTTTTCCTACGGATCATTTCCTCAACTACTACTTCTCTGGGCCTTGCACAAAAATTCATCAGTACCCATACGCATGGTACACATTTAGGAAGAACAAACTGCAGCTGAATTGGTCCATACCACTCTGTAGGAAATGTGAGTTCAAAGGAATGGATTGTGGTTTCAAGGATGGAATAAAGCTATTGGAAACTCATTGTTTCAATCGAACCAAAAAGCTATTGAACCAAAAAGGTACTATTTATATCTCTTAAATTTCTTTCTAGTTTTTCCATCGTTGATAAAAAACCACTTAACATACATACACTTTTATTTTGTCCATAATAGGTATTAAATCTAAGCAGCCCTTGATTGCAGGTTAGTTTGATTAAGTTCTCACTCCATCTGTTTCCTACTTGATTTTCCTTTATGCTTATGACATGTTATTTATTCAATTATTGTAGGTGTAGTTTTAGGTACAGCGCTTGTTTGCATTATTGTCTTCTCACTTTATAAGCTTTATTTGACAAGTAGAAATGAAAGAGAGAGTCGAGTTAGACTTGAAAAGTTTTTGGAAGACTACAAGGCCATCAGACCGACACGATATGCTTATGCTGATATTAAGAAGATAACAGATGATTTTAATGAAAAGTTAGGAGAAGGGAGTTATGGAACTGTATACAAAGGCAGACTTTCCAGTGAAATCTATGTTGCAGTAAAAGTCCTACACGATTCCAAGGGTAAAGGGGAAGAATTTATCAATGAAATCGGTACAATTGGGAGAATCCACCATGTTAACGTGGTCCGTTTGGTTGGTTTTTGTGCTGATGGATTCAGACGAGCTCTGATCTACGAATACCTACCAAATGATTCACTTGAAAGGTTTATTTTACCAGTGAGCTCAAGCCCGGGTAGTGTCTCACTCATCAGCTGGAACAAGCTTCAACATATTGCTCTGGGTACTGCAAGAGGGATTGAGTATCTTCACCAGGGATGTGATCAGCAAATCCTACATTTCGATATCAAACCACAAAACATCCTTTTAGACCAGAACTTGAACCCCAAAATATGTGATTTCGGCCTAGCCAAACTATGTTCTAAAGAAAAAAGTGCGGTCACTATGACAGCTGCTAGGGGAACCATTGGTTACATTGCACCAGAAGTGTTATCAAGAAACTTTGGTAAAGTTTCTCATAAGTCTGATATTTATAGCTTTGGGATGGTCTTGTTAGAAATGGTTGGTGGGAGGATAAAGATGGATCCTAAGACGAATAACCACAGCAAAGTGAATTCTTTGGAATGGATATATAGACATTTGGAGAAAGGGGAAGAATTGAAGATTCGGATAGAGGAAGAAGGAGATGGTACAATTGTGAGAAAGTTAGCTATTGTTGGACTTTGGTGCATACAGTGGCATCCCAATGATAGGCCTTCAATAAAAGAAGTTACTCAGATGATGGAAGGAGATGGGAGCCATCTCAACTTGTCCCCAAATCCTTTTATGGCTACTGATACGCCTAAGTTAAATGCAAGTCCTCTCAGTGAAGATCTAGACGTGATATTAGAAATTGAATAACACTTCAAAGTCATTTGTATAATTAATGAAAAGGAGATAGTGTAAGAATTGCAAAAGTATTTTGTTTCATAGTAATCAGGAAGCTGAATGATACATATGTAGTCTTATTTCTCGATTTGTATGCATTAGATCCTTGCATTAAAACCAAAACAAAAGTCAGCTGTTTTCTCAAGGCTTTTCCCAATACTATCATAATGAAAAAAATGTCAGTTTTTATAAAGGCGAATTTAGGATTTTAAGAGGATGGATGTAGAGTGTTAATGTACATACTGTTAGTTAATGATAGTGGATGCAAACTTAGTATAAGTACACATCTAAAAGTTACTCGACTAAGAATTTGGACTAAATCTGAGGAGGGAGCTTTGAGAAGCTTTCTGAGTTATTCATGGGTAAGCTCTTATCCCATTAGCAAGTTGAATTATTTGTCTGGACACAAGTTAGCATGCCATTAATCTATGTCTACTACATTCGGGCATCATTTGGTTAGGCACACAGAAAACTACCTTGTATGCTAGATGGAAATTACGGGGAGAAGAAAATTGTAGACCCCAATAGATGACTGATAGCTCATTAGATCGGTAAACGCCAATGACTGAAACTGAAAAGTATTCTCAAGGTCTTTTAAGGTTTTTGAAGGCTCCTTGAGAAAAGTATTCTCTGCGGTATCATAGGACCTTATAATAAAGCTCATTTCCTTTTAAGTGTTGAACACGGTAACAGGGCATTCCCATCTCTATTCATCATTAATAAATAGGTAAACGTCAAAGTCTTTCATCTTGAGGGCGCCCTTTCATCAAGTTGTTGTTGTTCATCTTGTATTCCTAAGATACTTAGAACAAAACTTTGAAGAACTTGGTAAGAATCAATAAAGTTTAAAGAAGTTTAAAGAGTATTTTCAAATTAGAAAATTAAAACTAGTAGAGAAAATAGAAGCAGAAACAGATTAGAAACAATATAAAAATATTTTTCTCAAAGAAAGAAAATCGAGCCCATTTAATGCACAGTGTCCCCTTAAGGAAATTATTCCCCTCAAGTACTCGAGGTTAATGGAGTATATCCTCCCAGGATAGAACGATCTTACTCACCGGTGTATCGCTACCTAAAACCACAGAGTTAGCGAACCACTCAACGGCAGTAAAGTACACTAAGAATACTAGATTTAGTAGTAGTAGAAGAAGTCCAGAAAAATTCGTTCACCTAAAATGAGGGAAAATCCATCAATTTATAGAAAACAAAAGATAGTGTAAAAATGTTCTTATTGTGCCTTACCAGAAAGGTCACAAACCTTTGAAAAAGTCACAATCTTTCGAAAAGGTCACAACCTTTCATAAAAGTCACAATTTTTATTAAAAGTCACAACTCTTCATAAAAATCGCAAATTTTCATAAAAGTCACAACTCTTCATAAAATTCGCAACTCTTCATTTTCCATTCACACCTTTTAAAACCCAACAATCCCCCGTATGAATGGGGAATGACTCCAAGACAAAGAAACGGACAAGTATGTGTGCTTTACAAGTAAGAATTAATTGCATCTGGATAAGTAAGTTTCCCCTTGGACTTTCCGTAGTGAACATATGTTGGATATAATTGGTCAATCGGTAGATGCGATATCTTTGAACCGTCGAGTTTTGGTGTATACCTAGACAACCATATGTCACACAATTAACCCTTTACCGTTTATGGTTCTTACGGTTGTGTTCGTTTCAACCATGAACACCTCCTGGTTTCATGAGTGTATAAAGAATATGCTTTTAACAATCATTCTCTTTGAAGCGGCTTACACTTCACACTCACATAGGTGATTTCTAACCGTGTCATCGTGTAGATACACTATTTGGTCAAGTCTACCAAACTTAGAAAATCATTAAAAACTTTAAGCTTTATTAACTCATTAACAAGCCTTATGTTTTAACCTCGTTCCTGAACATTGTCTTCATCATGAGAATGGATTGAGTTGATTGACAATGTCGAACCGTCAGTCACAACTTTGTTTTTCTCCTTGAATCTAGATCTTGGGATCTCCAGTCTGCTAGATAGAGTTACCGTCATGATGACTTGTCCTAAGCCGTAAACCCATTCTCTTAGATGATCTTTCAACTTTCTCTCTAGTTAGGCCTTTTTGTAAGTGGATCTGACACATTATCCTTTGACTTTACATAGTCAATTATGATAATTCCACTAGAAAGTAGTTGTTTTCTAACGATATTATGTCTATGTCTTATATAACGAGACTTTCCATTATACATCATGCTCCATGTCCTACCTATTGCATCTTGACTATCAAAGTGTATGTATACTGATACCAATGGTTTGGGCCAAAAAAGAATATCTATCAAGAAATTCCAGAGTCTTTCAACTTATTCACCGGCCTTATCTAGAGCACTTAGCTCGGAGATCATTGTAGAGCTAGCGATACATGTCTTTTTGGAAGGTTTCCAAGAGATTGCTCCTCTACCAAGAGTAAATACATATCCACTCGTGGATTTTACTTCATTTGATTTCGGTGATCCAATTTGCATCACTATATTCTTTCAATACTGCAGTATATTTGTTATAATGCACGACATATTTTGAGTATGTTTTAAATACCCCAAAACTCTTGTCATCCAATGAGTTCGATTGGGATCACTCGTGAACTGACTCAGTTTATTAATAGCACATACTATATCTGATCGCATACACTTCTTGATATACATCATACTTCCCAATACTCTAGCACAATCCAATTGTGTGTCACTTTCGCCTTCACTCATTTGAATTGCAAAGCTCACACTTATTGGAGTCTTGACAATATTGAAATCCAAATATTTGAACTAGTCAAGTACCTTTTTGATGCAATGAGACCGTGAAAATGCTAAAATTATAGAGTTCTATGGATTCTTATACCTAAGATCGCATCAGCAACTCCAAAATCTTTCATATTAAACTTGCTTTCTAGCATACATTTAGTAGCATTTATGTCATTAGTGTCTCTACTGATGGTCAACTTATCATCAATATACAAACAAACAATGACCTTGTGATTTTAATGTAAACACATTTATCACTTCCATCATTCTTAAATACATTTGCCAATTTGGTTTAGTTAAATTTCTTATGTCATTGTTTGGGTGCTTGTTTTAGTTCATAAAATGACTTAACAAGTTCGCACACTTTCTTTTCTTTACAAGGTGTTTTATTATAAAATATTATTTTAGACTGATTTTAAGAGTCCACTTAATTTTAAAATAAAATTAAGAAAACTATTGTTTTCAAAAGACTAAAACAGAAATCTAATGAAAACTTAAAAAGGGGTTCGAGGTTCTTATTAGCATTTCGGGAAGGGGTTTAAAGCACCCGAAACACCCGCTAATATGCGGTTATCCGATAATTAATTATTTGACTTAATTTGAATTACACAATTTTATAGTTAAGACCATTTCAGGAAAAAAGAAGAATGTTGAAATATTATCTAAGTGAAGTATTTTTGTAAAATTATTTATTTATTTATTTTTAGTCAAGTAAAGACTAATAATTTAGTTAAGTAATTAATTCAAAATGGGTGTCTTCTAGGGGATTGAATGTTTGAAACCTTAAAATTGATAGCAATTATTAACAAATAAACAAACACAATAAACAAAGAGAGAGACCTGGACCCAAGTCTGGTTTCCTATCCGCCTGGGCCAGTACTTGGGCCCATTTGAGTCACCTGCACCTGACCTAAACTTCTAACAACCAAATAATAATAAGCAAGATGAGAGGGGCTTAGGCCCAAACTAACAAAATACAACTTTTTGAAATTCGGGGCCTTTAGGCCCATTTTCCCTCTTTCGTATGCACTAGATGTATACTGGTGTATATCTGCTCCGAACCTTGTTCACCAAATTTTCGGGGGATCTGACTCGGTAAAATAATTTTGGGGCCTTCATGGCCCCCTTGGAAATGCAAAGATACAGTCCGTGAGGACTTGGACAGATTTTACATGCAACGAAAGGAAATGGCAAAGGATTAATACACAATCTAATATAAATAGAGAATAAAAAGGGTCAAACTCTAAAATGTATATGCCTTGACTCGAGAAGACGTATGCTGGAAAACAACAAATTTTGAAGGAGTGACCAAAAGAGGCACTAACACATCAATGTGACAACTTGGTAGTATACTTATAAATAGGGAAAAGATGCAATCACACACAAATGACTAAACAACCAATTAAGTAAAAGATAATAAGCAGATGCTATTAGTTTTTTAAAGAAAAAAAATGCTAACTAAGTCGACAAGCCTTTAATCAAAATATTGAAAGTTTTCGTTAAATAATAACACTAGAGCAAGCTAGCGAGCTACTGCCATAAAAAAAATCAATAAACAATTTTTTATGTTGTCAAAATGCCATGAGGACAAGGATAAGACAACATATGGTAGCATCAGAATAGACAAATAAATATGGAGAGCAATTTATTTATTCAAGCTTGAAATACCACACGACATGGATCAACCCGGACTAATTAGGGTGAAACATAACCAATTCCTCGTTCTGATCCCAGGATACTTAATCAAGCAATAAAGGAGTTAATATCTTAAAAGGTCACTCAACCTATGAGAAATCATCTAATAAAGTCATTGGACTTTGTTCTGTATCAATAAAATCACTCGACTTAAAGTTTTTATCTTTAAAAATCACTCAACTCATTTATCTAAAAATGAACAAAATAAATTCACATGAAAAAATTTGATAGATTTACCAACTTAAGCAAAAATATATATATATATATATAATGAATAACAGGGAAACACTATGTCATGCTAACATGGTATTTACAGAAGCTAGACAAGGTATTCGTCCCTTTGGATAGCTAGTGAAGACTGGACATTTTTCAAATGAAATTATAAACAAAGCAAACAAAGAAAAAAATGATTATACTGTAACAAAAATTTACTAGCAATAGATTATCACGACAAATGGATTATAAAAATTCTAAGCAATTAATCAAACTTTCAACAAAGAATACAACTCACATGTTAAATCCCATCAAACAATACAAAGTGAAGTTCTTAAAACTAAACAGGATAACGAGAAGCCAAAAGCTCAACTAATGAAGAAAAATCCAAGTTATTGATATTCTTTA